TGTTGAAATTGATTTGATTGAATACTCCTTCTCGCTTGTTGGGTCTCTTAGACCTACTACCGTTATTTATGCTAGTTCGCACTTCAATGAGCTTATGGTCTGAGTATTTAGTATCTGAGATTGTAATGTCTCTGATTAGTTCATCATTGTTTGTGAATAACAAGTCTAGTGTGTTTTCGTTCCTTGTTGGTTCTGTAATCTGTTGATTGAGTGAGAATTTGTCACAGAATCCCAAAAGTTCTCTGACCTGTGGTTGGTTATTTCCCGGGTCGTTCCCTGCGCTCATATTTGTATTTGCCATTCTCCATCTTAGACTTGGTAAATTGAAATCTCCAAGGAAGATAGTATCTGGAGCTGGGTTCGCTAGATTATCAAGGATGTTCTCTATTTTGTGCATCTGCTCTGTGAATTCCTCAACCGTTGTATCTGGCGGTTTATATATTAGAATAATAATTATGTTTATTTTTTCTACCTTAATTCCAAGTACCTCTACCACCTCATTAGTTGAGTTTAGTAGCTCTGTGCATACCAGGCCACACATATATAAATTACAATTTTGAATCCAGATTTCACTATCCATGTAATCTATCGTAAAGAGTTTCCGTGAATGCCCCAAATATTGAATTTGACTCTAATAGGAGGTCATTTATGAACTTAACTATTTCTTGATTTTGACTTTAGGCCTTGTATATATTTAGGCGTTTGCATATATGAATGATTTTCCATTGTGCGTGTCACTTCTGGAAGGTTTTGGTAGTTCTCCCTCCTCTCCACCCTGACCCAGGGTGTGTTGTTGTGGCAATGGTTTGTCCAGTTTTGGAAGTGATACTGGGTAGTGTGGTAGTTTCTGAGTAGTTGAGGGGTGTAGTATGTGTGCACTTGATGAAGAATTGTCGTCCAGTCTTGGGCATTTCCCGCCCTCTCTATCCGTACTCCTGCAACGTTTCTGCCTGTCTGTTCCTCCCTCTGTTTCTGCCTGCCTCTAAAAAAAAAATTCCAGGGCTATTATACTGGACTTCCTCTCTTATATAGCGCTGTGTACCTCTCACATGGAAATCAGAATAATGAAGATCGTTGCATTTTCTCTCATTAACTGAGTTTGCATAACTTAGGGTGGAAATATCTACACTCTGTACCAAAACGACATCTGCCCTTCCAAAACATGTTTCAGCATTTTCGGGGATGCATGAATGTGCATTCCGTGCCTCTGGTCCCATATCTGAACTTTCCTTTTGCATAATATCTGCAAATATTTTCATGTGTTTGTATTCTAATTGTTTGTTCTTGTGCATGCCATGGCTACCTCTGTGTTTTTTGTTCTAATTTTCTAGTTTCCGCATTCTTTCTCGGTATTGCCCTTATCTTTCTCCTTGTTGCTTTCATCTTTCTCATTTTTGTTCTCGTCTTTCTCATTTTTTCTCTCCCTATTCATATTACCAGTTTGCTGTTCAATATTGCATTCATTTTCGTGTACCTCGACACAATGTCCTTCTACATTGCTAATTTGGCTCTCTAAACTCTCAGTCCCTGGGCTGTGTTCAGTGTTTGTTCTTGTCTTGTAGTTGCTGTTGTAGTGGCATCATTGTGTATCCGTAGTGGCATCAGTGTATCTTTAGAAGCATAACAGTGTATCTATAATAGCATCACAGTGTATCTATAATGGCTTCACAGTGAATCTATAGTAGCATCAGTATCTCTGTTGGCATCTTTAGTGGCATAACAGTGAATCTATAGTGGCATCACAAGGCTTCTATAGTGGCATCACAGTGTATCTATAGTAACATAACAGTGTATCTATAGTAACATAACAGTGTATCTATAGCAGCATTACGGTGTATCTATAGTAGCATTACGGTGTATCTATAATGGCTTCACAGTGAATCTATAGTAGCATCACAGTGCATATATAGAATCATCACAGTGTATCTATAATATCATTACAGTATCTATAGCAGCTTCACAGTATATCTATGGCAGCATCACAGTGTTTCTGTAGCAGAATCACAGTGTAACCATTGCAGCATCAGTGTATCATAGTGACATCATAGTGTATCTACAGTGACATTACAGTGTGTCAACACTGACATCACAGTGTATCTATAGCAGCATCATAGTGTATCTATAGCAGCATCACTGTGTATCTATAGCGGTATCACAATGTATCTATAGTGGCATTACCGTTTATTCATAGTGGCATTACAGTATATCTATAGCAGCTTCACATTGTATTTATAGCAGCATCACAGTGTATAGCAGCATCACAGTCAATCTATAGTGGCATCACAGTGTATCTATAGTGGCATCACAGTGTAACTATAGCAGCATCACATTGTTTCTATAATGGCATCACAGTTTATCTATAATTGTATCAGAGTGCATCTGTAGCAGCGTACCTATAGTGGTGTCACAGTGTATATATTGTGGCATCTGTCGTGGGTCTTGGTTACCCCTTATCATCTGGTGTCACAGTGTATATAGTGTGGCATCTGTCGTGGGTCTTGGTTACCCCTTATCACCTGGTGCCACTGTTCACCACTGGGGATGCACCTCAGTCGACCCACGGGGCAGAGTCCTCTTCTTAACCCGGCCTTGCACCCCTCAGGGAGTGAGATAGCTCGATCACTCCCTAGTCCTCTTACTTGGGTGTCCACAAACACGGAACTCAAGGATTACTCAGGTCGAGCTGCTCAGCATAAAGTTTCCTGAACAAGGTCACCAACTCGACTCTCCTGACATCGTGTTCGAGTACTACTCTAAACTCAGTGGTATTTGTATCTCCCATTCCAGGACTCTAGTAATAAAGTATGGTATGGTGCCCAGTATCCCATCACGACAACACATCCAGAAATAAAGGGAAGGAAGGAAACGCACGTAAAATCGATGGGTTTACTTGGAAATAATTTACCCTGGCCGTCAGACCCCAATCAGTGCTCCTCAAATCATGTCAATAATCATTGATACATATATTTAGGACAATGCTGTCAATACGAAAAATCATGTGGGAATAAAAGGAAACGACATTGCAGACAAAGCTGCAAAACTTGCAACTAAGAAAAAAAAGAGGACATTTACAATCCACAGAATCTATCACAGATTAAGAAAGTAATTAGAAACAGAGCAATGCAAAAGATGTACAGTGACCACAACACAGCAGTTGCAACATCAGGATCTGCGGGTTGGTACAAAAATTCAACCAACTACGAACCACTTAGTTTGATGAAAGGGAGCAGTAGAGCAACAGAAGTACACTTACATCGCATCAGGCTTGGATACCCATGTTCATGGGAAATAGGCTTACAGGTTCCGGAAGATGAGAGGAAATGTCAGCACTGTGGAGAAATGCCCGACAGACCACTGGAACATTATCTAACACAGTGCACAGTTACAAACCCATTAAGATTTCAACTTAGATTCAACAGAGCAGAAGAAGTTGTTAAACACATATGGCAAAATCTTACTGAAGCGACCATACGAGTCATAAATACTCATACTCCGCCCAAGTAAAACAAAAACAAGCAACACTTAGTGGGTCAGCCAGAGGCTTAGGGCCCGCGCAGGAATATCCCTCAAAAAAATATGAAAATTACTCCACCAAAATATCGAACAAACACACTAATTTGTTTTAACACCTTTCCTAACCAAAGGGGAAAATGGGAGGGCAATTTTATCTACCTGACAAAGCGTTACTGCAGCTTGTAGACCCTGCGCCGGGTAGCTCCTCGTAGAATATAGCTGCAGCTCAATGATTCGGCGTCAGATGGCTTCTCGTAGATACACGATGGGCTGACGATCCTCTCATTCCTAGGCGAGCTCCGCGCCTCACCAGATGTTTCCCACTTGATGACAGGCCTAGACAGGTGTTGATTGGCTTGCCCCTATCAACACTGGTTCACTGGTCCTCTGCATCACCACAGTCTCGTGGCATGAACATACGATGGATGATTTTCTGATGACGGACTGCTACCGAATTCGGTTCCTCATAGCTGTCAACGTACGCAGTCCACAAAGATGTCCAACACTCATCCTAGCACCGTGTCAACGAATTACTCCTAACCCTGCCAGCATCTAGCTCCTGGTGTCTTTCTCACACCAAATCAGCTCTGCTACAATACTCCCACGTGAGTCGACATGTCTTCCTCTTCGTTGGTGAACGTCGCTGTCCGAATCATATCCAGAGGCCTAAATCGACTCCCAAAAGGCTGAGCAAACGAGTGCATTTCCGCTCAGCTCGACACCCAGGTAGCCAGTAAGTTCACTTTTTGCGCTTTCCTGCAGGAGCACCTGACGTCATGCAACGTCACGCCCGTTGCGCAACGGGATTGGTTAACTTCGCCAAGCCCCCACCACCGACCAATCACGCCATGGCTGGCGCTGCTTCCATAATGCACCTGGGCCTCTCCTTCCCCCCCCCCCCCCCGACGGGAACTCTTGGCTCGCTCCCCCATTTTAACAAGGACACACTTGATAGACTCATCTCAAATAAACAAATATCGCATTTTTTCCCAGGTGCAACATCCTGCTTCCTCTCAAGTATATTCAAATTAACTAATGCTTCTTGTAGATATTTACAAACAGGGAGTTGATGACTCTTATATTCGAGGAAAAGGGGAATACAGGCTGGCACTCCGTAACACATCACAGTGTATCTATGGTGTCATCACAGTATATCTGTATCAGCATCACAGTGTACATATGGTGGTATCCCAGTGTATCAATAGTGGCATTACAGTGTATCTATAGTGGCATTACAGTGTATCAATAGTGGCATAACAGTGTAACTATAGTTGTATCACAGTGTATCTATAGTGGCATCACAGTGTATCTATAGCGGCATCACAGTGTAATATGATGCCGCTATAGACACACTGTGAAATTTGATGATGATAATAAAAAAGATGATGATAAGGACAGGCCGAGGAACTTGCAAATTAAGAAAAGAAGGAAACCTGAAGATAATTATATTTATGAACTCCACAGAAGAAGAGCAAGAGAGGACTCACAGGAGGCAGATATGAGGACATCAGGGCCGGCTTGGGCGTGTCCCTGTGAGTGTAGTCCGGGCGTGAGGGCGTCTGTCTTGGTGGTCGGAGACTGCAGCTCCAAGCCTCCCAACACGCCCATGTCTCGCCCGCCTACCCCTGGCTGCACACACCTGCATCTGGGGTACAGAAAAAGAACAAGACGATACACAATTGTTGATCATGTTTATTGCTCCGTGCTTTTGGAGAATTATTTATCACTGTCAGTGAGAAGGTTTGTGTCTCCAAGCTGTAGCAATAATTCTAAAAGCGGCTAGTGCACACGCCCTCGCACATACGCGCGCGCACGCACACACAAACACACACACACACACACACACACACACACACACACACACACACACACACACACACACACACACACACACACACACACACACACACACACACACGACCATTCCTGCAGCTTGTCCAGGTCTTCTTGAAGCCTCAAGCTGTCCTCCTCTGCCTTAATCCTTCTCATAAGTTTGGTGTCGTCAGCAAACATTGAGAGGAATGAGTCTATACCCTCTGTGAGATCATTTACGTATATCAGAAACAGGATAGGTCCAAGTACAGAGCCCTATGGGACTGTGACAAATGGAATGCATTAGGCAGTGATGTGGTGGAGGCTGACTCCATACACAGTTTCAAGTGTAGATATGATAGAGCCCAATAGGCTCAGGAACCTGTACACCTGTTGATTGACGGTTGGGAGGCGGGACCAAAGAGCCAAAGCTCAACCCCCGCAAGCACAACTAGGTGAGTACAACTAGGTGAGTACACACACACGCACACACACGAGGCACTGAACCAGTGCCTTAACTTGTGTCCTTAACTTGTGTCCCTTAACTTTGTGTCCTTAAGGCCAGTGTCCTTAACTTGTATACCATGCACGGTGATGGAGAAGATTGTGAGAAAAAACCTAGTAACACATCTGGAGAGAAGAGACTTCGTGACAACCCATCAACATGGGTTCAGGGAGGGTAAATCTTGCCTTACAGGATTGATAGAATTCTACGATCAGGTGACAAAGATTAAACAAGAAAGAGAAGGCTGGGCGGACTGCATTTTTTTGGACTGTCGGAAAGCCTTTGACACAGTACCCCATAAAAGGTTGATGCATAAGCTAGAGAAACAGGCAGGAGTAACTGGTAGGGTGCTCCAGTGGATAAGGGAGTACCTAAACAATAGGAAGCAGAAAGTTACAGTGAGGGGTGAGACCTCAGACTGGCGTGAAGTCACCAGTGGAGTCCCACAGGGCTCTGTACTTGGACCTATCCTGTTTCTGATATACGTAAATGATCTCCCAGAGGGTATAGACTCATTCCTCTCAATGTTTGCTAACGACGCCAAAATTTTGAGAAGGATTAAGACAGAGGAGGACAGCTTGAGGCTTCAAGAAGACCTGGACAAGCTGCAGGAATGGTCGAACAAATGGCTGTTAGAGTTTAATCCAAGCAAATGTAATGTAATGAAGATAGGGGTAGGAAGCAGGAGACCAGATACAAAGTATCACTTGGGAGATGAAATACTTCAAGAGTCCGAGAGAGAGAAAGACCTGGGGGTTGATATCACGCCAGACCTGTCCCCTGATGCTCACATCAAGAGGATAACAGCAGCAGCATATGCCAGGTTGGCTAACATAAGAACGGCCTTTAGAAACTTGTGGAAGGAATCTTTCAGAACATTATATACCACATATGTCAGACCAATCCTGGAGTATGCGGCACCAGCATGGAGTCCATATCTAGTCAAGCATAAGACTAAAATGGAAAAGGTTCAAAGGTTTGCCACCAGACTAGTACCCGAGCTGAGAGGTACGAGCTACGAGGAGAGACTACGGGAATTAAACCTCACTTCGTTGGAAGACAGAAGAGTTAGGGGGGACATGATCACCACATTCAAGATCCTCAAGGGAATTGACAGGGTTGATAAAGACAGGCTGTTTAACACAAGGGGCACACGCACTAGGGGACACAGGTGGAAACTGAGTGCCCAAATGAGCCACAGAGATATTAGAAAGAACTTTTTTAGTGTTAGAGTGGTTGACAAATAGAATGCATTAGGAAGCGATGTGGTGGAGGCTGACTCCATACACAGTTTCAAGTGTAGATATGACAGAGCCCAAAAGGCTCAGGAACCTGTACACCTGTTGATTGACAGTTGAGAGGCGGGACCAAAGAGCCAGAGCTCAACCCCCGCAAGCACAACTAGGTGAGTACAACTAGGTGAGTACACACACACACACACACCTCTCTCCTCCCCCTCGCTCTCTCGCCCCCTCTCTCCCTCACCCCCTCTCCCTCTCCATCTATCTCCATCTCCTCTCTCTCTCTCTCTTCTCTCTCTTCTCTCTCCTCCCTCTCCCTCTCTCTTCCCTCTCTCTCTCTCTCCCTCTTGTCCCTCTTTCCCCCCCCCCCCCTCCTTTCTTCTCACCTCAGTGAGAGAGTCAGATCGCCCCCACCCATCCATCACACACACACACACACACACACACACACACACACACACACACACACACACACACACACACACACACACACACACACACAACAAACACACACGCGCGGACACACAAACACACGCACGCACGTGTCTTTGTCTCTCTCTCATCCCTCTCTCTCACCCCACTCTCTCACTCTACTCTCTCACCCCTCTCTCTCACCCCACTCTCACCCCTCTCTCTCACCCCACTCTTACCCGTCTCTCCCACAAACTCTCTCTCTCTCTCTCTCTCTCTCTCTCTCTCTCTCTCTCTCTCTCTCTCTGTCTCTCTCTCTCTCTCTCTCTCTCTCTCTCTCTCTCTCTCTCTCTCTCTCTCTCTCTCTCTCTCTCTCTCCTCCACCACCCCTCTCTGCCCTCCTGACAAATCCTATCATGGCACAACTAGCAACAGGGGCAAGCATGACAGCCAGAGGTAACAGGGGAACAGGGAAAAGTCAAGGTGACTAAATGAAGGAAATGTTCGCCCAGTTTCTGGAGGACATCAAGAGTGAGATGCAAGAAATGATGCAGGAAATGAAGAACGAAACAAGCAACCTGAAAAGAGAGCTGACAGCAGCAAAAGAGGAGATTAGAGCCCTTAAAGAGAACAGTATCGATGCTGAGACTCATTAAATCATCCAGGGAGAAGGTGGTAATAGTATTTTGGAAGAGAATGCCACAATAAAAGCAACATTTGCAGAAGTGCTAAAAAAAACTCTAAAGTAATGTCTGCAGTGATGGAGGTAGCCATGAAAGCAGCCACCTCACAGGAAGCAGCACGCTCCACTAGCCAGCTGCTGGAAAGGAAAAGATCAGTGGTAGCTGTGGGTATTTAAGAGCAGGAAGGCTCCAGTAGAACAGAGTGGAATGATAAGGACACAGCGGCAGTGAATGAAATACTCAAGGCACTAGACATGGAAGGGGCTGAGTATAGCATTGAGAAGGTTTTCAGGCTAGGCTGGTACAACAAAGACCGAGACCGTGTGTTAAAGATAGTGTTTGCAAACGAGAACACAAAGGAGAAGTTTCTAACAAGGAAGAGCTACCTGCAATATGTGGGAGAATTCAAAAATGTATTCCTCCAGAGGGACATGACGAGGGAGGAGAGAGCCATGGTGGCAGAAGCAAGGAAGAGGCGCAGGGCGAGAGGGGAAAACCAGGAAATCACAGCTCCCAACACAACATCCCCAGTTGCAAGGGGGGAATCCACATCCAGCTATCCAGTAACACCAGCGGGGAGGGCAACCCCACCACCCTCCTCTGCATAGAAACCCCCCTACCCCAAACCTTCCCTACCACCACTCAAATGCTCAGCCAAATCTCTCCTCTGACACCCAATCCCCACCCTTCTACCCCTCCCCTCCTCCTGCCAAGTCCCCCCTCTCCCTTTTTCCTTCCTGTGCTCCCTCCCCTTTCACCCCATACCATCCCTGTCCCTCCCCCTTCACTTGACCCCCCACCCCTCATGCCAGTGCTCTCTGAGACCCTGTTATCCACCTCACAAATCCTCACACCCATGGAACAGCTTCCCCCACCAGCAGAACACTCACCAAGGAGGCGATTTGAGAAGGGACAGAAGAAAATGAGCCTCAAGGCAATGTACACTATCATAGATGGAATTACAAATAAAGCAAATGAGCTTGAATAATGGGTAGTAGGGGGAAAACCCAGACATAATAGCTCTCACAGAAACAAAGCTAACGAAAACCATAACAAATGAAGTGTTCCCACAGGACTATTTTGTTATGAGGAAAAAGAGGGAAGGAAGAGGTGGTGGTGGTGGTGTAGCTCTGCTGGTAAGAAAAGGCTGGGACTTTGAGGAGATGGTTATTCAGGGCTGTGAAGGTTTCAGTGACTACATAATAGGTACCATAACAACTGGAGGGCAAAAAATTATAGTCGTAGTCATATTTAATCCGCGACCAAATGACAGAAGACCCAGACAGGAATATGATAGAAACAACATGGCCACCATTACCATAATTGAGAGAGCAGCTTCTGTTGCTAGCAGGAATGGATATGGACTACTAATCATGAGAGACTCAACCATAGAAAGATAGATTGGGAGAACAGAGACCCGCATGGAGGACCGGAAACATGGGGAGCTAATTAATAAGCTGCTGGACGTGGCAACAAGAAACTTTCTAAGCCAACACATCAAGGATTCAACAAGAATAAAAGAAGATGAACCAGCAATGCTTGATTTGTTATTTACCCTAAATGAGTGGGATATAAGGGAAGTTAAGATGGAAGCATCCTTGGGAATGAGTGATCACAGTGTATTGAACTTTGAGTACCTGGTAGAGCTAGGAATTATCTCCCCCATAAAAGAACTAGGAAACAAAAGGCTGGCATACCGAAAGGGAATTATGAAGAGATGAGAAGTTTCCTAAGGGAAGTACCTTGGGACACAGACCTCAGAGATAAGTCTGTACAAGATATTATGGACTATGTCACCCAAAAGTGTCAGGAGGCAGTAAAGAGGTTCATCCCGGCCCAAAGGGAAAAATCCGAGAAGCAAAAGAAGAATCCATGGTATAATAGGGCATGTATGGAAGCAAAGAAACTGAACAAAAGGGCGTGGAGGAACTTCTGGAATAACAGAACACCTGAAAGCAGAGAGAGATACCAGAGAACCAGGAATGAGTATGTC